GGTGTGGGTGTGGGGGTGTGTGTGTGGGTGTGTGGGTGGGTGGGTGTGTGTGTGGGTGGGTGTGTGTGTGTGTGTGTGTGTGTGTGTGTGTGGGTGTGTGTGTAAACGACGCGACACAAACTCCATCATAAAGATTTCCAAGAATTTTTAATACTGTACCTACTACTGTTACGGACACACGGCGAGTCCATGTATCGAAATTTGTCGGAGGGCGAGTTCTATTTACCAGGGTATCACCAAGGATTGTTATTATAGTAACAGAATCCTTGGTACAAGGAATATTCCTTGTCATGGTATCACCCACCATTCAGAAATAACAGTGCTACAAGAGGTGGTATGTCAAGGAGCACCTGACAGCACCAGTGACAAGCTAAATGAACTGGGATCATCGGAGTTTATTTGGTGCGATTTGATAACATAAACTCCAGCTAACAGTAGATGTGTTATAGGGCTGACTGCATCAGAAGGGAAAGTGGCAGATCTTCATAGTCATGTAGACAACATCCAAAGCGCAAGCTCTCATCATGGGGGGTTTTAAGTATGAAACGATAGACTGGGTGAATAAAGCCGGCAAACAAGAACGAGAGGGAAGAAGACCAGGTGGACGAATCACAAACCCAGGAAAGCCTACAAAGCATATGTCAGCTGTGGAAGAAGTACCGGAGCACAAAACACCAAGCGGATTATATATAAGCCTTAAATGTAGCCAATCAGGAAATAAGATAAACTGAACGGCAGTTTGAGATGAATTTAACCGCAAAAAATAAGAAATATCCAAGTCTTGGCATACGTTTAAATACTGTTAAAGAGCCCAGCATATGCCAACAGCGTGAAATAGAGCCCATAAATGCCCAGCTTCTGCCAACTGTAAAACAGCCCATACATGCCCAGTCTATACCAACAGTATGTTAGAGAAATAACTGACCGTCCAATTTGCTTGTAAACTGACATTGTAAATTGACAAGTAGCGAAATGTAAGTGGCTATAGTACTGTGGAGAGTAGATTTATAAAATATTGGGAGAGGCTAGACTCCACAAGCCTAGTTAAGAAATGTTTAGACTCCCCAAGTCGAATTAACATCCACCATCACAACCACCATTACCATAACGTAAACAATTTACAATCATCATCATCAAAAACTATAACTACTGCCACCACCATCCTCACTTTCTCCAAGCTTTCTCCGCCTCCCGCCGCTAACTCCGCGCTAGATCCATTCCCCTCGCCCCCTAATGTATCGCTACAGAACTTCCTCAATTAAAACAAATACTTGCAGTAGACAATAGATGGCACAATTAACACGATCCGGTGTGGGATAAAGGGCGTGTAATTGTTGATAATTAAACTAATTATGTACAAACTATTACACAGGTAGTGGACTGCAAAAGACTGGCAGTAGCGTAAGCGATCAAGAGAATTGTCGATTCCTTGTACCCCTTCATCCACGGCTTGGTAAAAGCAATTGGAAAATAAAGGAAACCTAATTTCATATTGTTTTTATATGAGAAGCTACAGTGAAAAACCAGTACACGCAAATAATAATAACACACACACACATCTTTGACCACCGGTGGGTTAAAACCTTTTCGGGGCCCACTTCCCTAACCCCCTCCCCACAACCCCTCCTCTCCACCGGGATGTCAACAAAATCCCGCCAAAAGTGACGATTTCGTTTCGGAGAGGGATCAGTGTTGAACAGAAGGGGCAGATCCAGGAATATCAAAAGTTGTGGGCGAGCATAGCAAGCCCACCCTGCTAGGGGGAGGGGGCGGCCCCCCAATTTTTTTAAATCTGACCAATATCATGGGCATTTTGAGGCCATTTTGAAGCCATGTGCACTTGATATTAGGAGATATTCTGAGGTCAATAGTAATTACTTTTTACTATACAAAAACGCCTGAGTACAATACTGCATTAAAGAAAAAGTATTGGAATTTTCTGATGAAAAGGGGATTTCAGATTTGCCCTGATGAAAAGGGGAGGGAGTCCGGACCCATAGGATGACCCCCGATCCTGAACAGTGTTTAAGCCGGTAAATTCAGCATTAGCCAGTACCAGCGAGTCGTGACGCCTCCAGTGAGGTCCACACCCAGAGATAAGCACCCCTGAGAACCGACCACCATCTTCTGACTAGGTGGTGTTAACAGTCTACTCTGGGAACAACCGTGGGTCAGCTGTACACCTGACCAAAAGATAACAACACCACTTAGCAGGGTGAGATACTATGACACCACACCCGGTGTCTCCATGACCATGTGACGTCCCTCATGTCAACACCCGAGGACGAGTCATTACACCACATGAACACCACACCACCCGGTGTCTCCATGACCACGTGAGGACAAACTGATTTCAGAAGAACAAGCTTTTGATAGTTTTAAAAGGCAGCTGAGAGAAGAGATATCACATTTGGGGGTGAATTATATGCCCTCACACAATGTACCCACAGAGGGCGACCTCACTTCACCTGGAGACCTGACAATGATAACCTCACCAAACATGACGGTTGATGATGACCTGATCACGAAATCTTTGGTTGAAAGAGTTTCACAATAATTTAAATAATAAGTTACTTAATGCACAAAGGCAGAACATACCATACAGAAAACTCAGATCAGACAATGACCCTAAATGGATAAATAATTATTTAAAGACTGTAATTGGACAAAGGAAGGCTATACTGTCGGTAGAAGAATAAATCGTGGTGAAGTTTACCTCCGAGATTATTATAAGGTATTGGCCAGTAGGGTTAAGACCGAGATGAGGAAAGCAAAGAGGAATAATGAACTGAAGTAGCAAGGGAAGCGAAGTCAGATACCGGCGAGCTAACTGATAACGACGGAGAAATGAGCAATAATCTGAATAAATATTTTTTCAACAGTTTTCACCACCGAAAACTTAAACATGATACCCGAGGCACCGACTCTATTCAGAGATAGTGAAGAAAACAAATAAGAGTGATAGTAGTGACTAGTAATGATGTTAGTAAGCAAATAGACAAACTAAAGCCTAATAAGTCACCAGGTCCCGAAGAGATATTTGCCAGAGTATTAAAGGGATGTAAGGAAGAGCTTAGTATGCCCTTAGCAAAGATGTTTAACATGTCCTTAAAAACGGGTGTAGTACCAGAATCCTGGAGGATAGCGACTGTAATACCGATTTTCAAGAAGGGAGATAGATCACTATCCTTTAACAACCGTCCAATGAGTCTAACATCAATTGTAGGCAAATTACTGGAAGAAATCATTTCTAACTATTCGAAATCACCTGGAGAAGCACAAGTTAATCAATGATTCCCAACATGGCTTCACAAGTGGGCGTTCATGTCCAACTAATCTATTAACATTCTTTTCATCTGTTTCCGAATCAGTGGACGAGGGGCACAGTTATGATGTGGTATATCTCGACTTTAGCAAAGCCTTCGACAGTCCCCCCCACGAAAGACTAAAAGAGAAGTGGAGGCCCATAGCTTTAAGGGAGATATTCTAAAACGGATTAGGGCGTGGTTACAGGACAGGAAACAGCGAGTGAGCATTAACGGCACTAAATCAGATTGGAGCAACGTTACTAGTGGAGTTCCCCAAGGCTCAGTACTTGGACCATTATTATTTATTATATACATAAACGACATAGATATCGGCGTAGACAGCAACATAAGTAAATTTGCTGATGACACTAAAATGGGGAGTGTAATTAAATCTGACGAGAACTCCGCAAAACTACAGGAAGATCTAAACAAATTTTTCGAATGGTCTGAAAAATGGCAGATGAAATTCAACGTCGACAAATGTAAAGTACTCAGTGTAGGGGATGTAAACAGGGAAACCAGATACCAGATGAACTACGATGCCATAGAGAAATCCGACTGCGAGAGAGATTTAGGAGTAATGATAAGTAGGAACCTTAAGCCAAGTAAACAATGTGTTTTTGCTCGTAACAAGGCTAATAAAGTACTTGGGTTCATACAAAGGAGTGTTAGTTACAAGACTAGCGAGGTCATCCTAAAACTGTATCTTGCTCTTGTGAGACCACACCTGGATTACGCAGTTCAGTTCTGGTCACCGTATTACAGAATGGATATAGAATCCTTGGAAAGAATTCAGAGGAGAATGACAAGACTAATCCCGGGCATTAGGAACCTTGAGTATAGAGACAGGTTAAAGCATCTTAATTTGCACTCCCTTGAGAGACGTAGAGCGAGGGGCGACCTGATAGAGGTGTATAAGTGGAAGGCAGGGCTAAACAAAGGGGACATTATAAAGGTACTCAAACTATCCAACCAGGAGCGAACTCGTAACAATGGTTTTAAATTAGACAAATTTAGATTTAGGCGTGAAATAGGTAAACACTGGTTTGGAAACAGAGTAGTGGATGAATGGAACAAGTTACCAAATATCATCATTAACTCGAATACGCTGAATTGCTTCAAACATAGGTTGGATGCTCATATGAGCAATAGGGGTTGGGTGAAAACGGGACTGCCCAGTATGGGCCAATAGGCCCGCTGCAGTTTCCTCCATTCTTATGTTCTTATGTACCTCCTTTTTAAACCCATAAAATGACTCCTAATATCAAGTTCAATTTTATCACTTTCGTATGTAACAATATCGAAGGAACGGATAGTAAAAGGTAAACAAGGGAACAGATTGTAATCAGTGGGGAACTTGTTAAATCAACTCGGGTGAATAATGCCTCCCTGCTTCCCCGCTTCACGAGAACCTAGCTTTTCAGTCTTGCTTGGTATTATATATCACATACAAAGAAAATATGGATAAAATAGCATTCAGAACAACAGTATCAAGCTTAAGAGTAGTATCATTCTTAGTTCATTCTCAAAGGAGTCAAAGACCATTGTCAATATTTGTCATGTGATGAATCGTGCTACTCACGTTAAATGGATTACAATATTTTTTTGTGAACTTGTATCACGTAAAGTAATACATGCGACCTAGGCAACTTAATTTTACTTAAATAAAATATGTTGAGTTCCAAGACTCACCTTTTAGTAGACGATGATCCTCAAAACTCTTACTGAATTTGTACGATCCACTTCCTCCTCTCTGATCAATTGTAGATCGGTTCAAAGTTTCTTTTAATTCTACTGAATATAAAACAGAATTCCAAACTGAAGAACACTTTAAGTAGTTTCATAAAAAAATTTTCAGTGCCGTGTTCTCTATCAGTGAACAAGGAACTAAGGGTAGCCCAACCTTCTCCCCCCGTGTTCCGTGTCAGTCTGCCAGACAGGGAAGTCACAGTTTCACACACCTGAGTCACAGGTGGACTCGCCTTGCGATTGAGTTGCCAGTATTGGCATTTACTTACCATTGTTTTACAAAAAAAAATCTTGAAATTTCGTATCATGTAGTAAATAATAAGTTTTTATATTTATCAATACATTCCAAATCTTTAACCCTCGCTTTTTGTTATGTTACTCTAAATATTGTAGTAAAGAAAGTTCATTATATTCTTTATTCAGTTAGGCAGCTGCAGATTGGCGGATTTAAAGAAGATGTTGTAGCGCGCGCGAGTGTGTGTGTGTGTGTGAGGTGCAGTTTAGCCTAAATTCTCTATTTTAGTCACTACAAGTGCTGCTGAAGTTATAATGCATTACAGCGCTTCAACAGTCTTTAAGCGCGTAACTACGTTTTCAGTTTACCACAATAGCTCGATCAGTATATCGACAGTTATCACTAAAGCAAATTGAGTGCTGCACAATTTCTAAATCCTATTACATCTGTGGCGGATTTAAGGAGTTCTCTCTGCCCTCCTTATGAGTGAATACAATACTTCAATTTGATGAGAGAAATTGATTTGCAAGTAGGTTTCTTTTTTTAGTGAACAAATACAGAATGCACTACAAGTGGAATGTTGTAGTCATTAAGTTACACCAGAAGTGCTATACAGGTAAAGAAGTAAATATTACATGATGATGCCGCATAAAAAAAATGACTAACACTGCACCGATTAACAACTAAAAATTCCAGATTTTATGGTAACCTGGGAAAGGTTCCCATACCTAGGATCAGCTTCACCGCTGTGGGGCGCTCACACCAAACATTGTCCATGGACTAAAACACTATGGGCAGACGAGGGTAGCGCATTGCTTTTCATGTGAGGGACACCACAGGGATAACCAGACTGTCAGACACATCACTCCACGACAGCCAAAGGCCATGAAAGTTATTGATTGAAGTTTAATACCTTTCACACATTGCTAGGTATCCATTTATCATTATTCCCTACAGCCTGGATGGTCGTATTCCTCCTACACCATGGCGTTCAGTGCCGTAGATGTTCCTTCCAGAAAACCTTTGTTCCCACCTGCTTTACTTGCACCTGCAAATATGGACACCAGTACATTCTTACAGGTGTGGTATCTTTTGGGTCAGCCACACACGTAGCCTCTCACCAGGCTACTACCCGAGTGATAATAAATTCTTGACTCTTGCCCCCCCCACCAATCCCCCAGCTGAGTGGGTTAGAGTGGCCGCTGGTGTTGTGTGTTCTTCATGGAAGTTTCGAATTCTGTTTCGGAGACTTTGTATGATTTCGCAGTCGAGTAGATAGTGTTCCAGTGGGTTGCCCGCTGGCTCCTGACAGTAGGTGCATCCCCTGACGACATTTCTCATCGTCTGCCAGGTGCACTTGTACCCTAGTCGTAGTCGATGAAGGCTAACTTGGTTTTGTCTTGATGTTTTCTTGTCCGCGAATAGTGGTTCCCCTTTTGTAGCCACTAGGTACCATTTGGCTGATTGGGAACCAGCGTTGAATTCGCCAAGGAAGCTCTTTTGGATGTGGAGCTTGGTAGTCTTTCTGAGGTGGTTCTTGATCTGTTGCAATCTTGCTGGAACTTGAATGTGTACGCTTCTAAAACGTGTGGCTGCCTTGGCTGCTTCGTCCGCCATGTCATTTTCCCCAATCTCTACATGACTGGGAATCCAGTGTAAGACGACTGGGTAATTTTGTCCTTGGAAGTCCTGTAGCTGTGCGAGGATCGAGGTTGTGATGTGCACGTTGTCTCTTGGTGACATTTCTCATCTTTGCATTTCGATTCTTGATCCAGCAGAATGATATAAATAACCCATGCCTCCACAGTCCTAATACAGATCCCGGCCAGGCTAAGATTCAACTGTAACCGGGCTAACTGGGAAAACTTCAAACAAGAATTAAACAGCCCGCAACCCATACAATTACACAACAGGCACACTTCTCTAATATTACCACACCCTCAATACTCACACCAATCAAGAATCATACAGACATAAGTTAGCAACCTAATTAACTAATCACACAACAAGGATGAACACCAGAACACAGACGGCTATACAACATACTACACGAACACCTAAAAAACATTTCAAAAGAAGCATACAACAGGAACTGGCAGAAGCTGATTTCAGAAACGGAAGGAAACTACCATAAACCGAAGCAGTTCTGGCAGAAAATAAAGCACTTAATGGGAACCTCCAGCAACAAGTCTAACTATATAATATACAGTAATCATGTCAAATTAACAGATCCAACCAAACAAGAACCGGAATTTAGATCTTTCTGGAGTAAGATCTTTCAAATAACCAACGAAGAAACCTTAAACTTCTGCATGATCACAGAGAGGGAAGTATCCAACTACAGTATATGTCGCAAATAACCCACATCTGGCAACCCAGCCCCACGATCGATCTGAATACACTGGATGACATGTCCCCACTAACCAAACCAATCACAGTGGACGAAATAGTAAGAACAATCAACATAAGAACATAAGAACATAATAATGGAGGAAACTGTAGCGGGCCTATTGGCCCATACTGGGCAGTCCCGTTTACACCCAACCCCTATTGCTCATATAAGCATCCAACCTATGTTTGAAGCTATTCAGCATATTCGAGTTGATGATATTTGGTAACTTGTTCCATTCATCCACTACTCTATTTCCAAACCAGTGTTTACCTATTTCGCGCCTAAATCTAAATTTGTCTAATTTAAAACCATTGTTACGAGTTCGCTCCAGGTTGGATAGTTTGAAATACCTTTGTAATGTCGCTTTAACGCTAACAAAATTACTACCTGATAAAATACTAAAGTTTATAAATTCGTCTTATCTGTTCTCGTTCTTTCCAAAGGATTCTATATCCGTCTATAATCCCCGGTGACCAGAACTGAACTCGCGTAATCAGGTGTGGTCTCACAAAACAGATACAGTTTTTAGGATGACCTGCTTCAATGTGTAAACTTCTTACTCCTTTAGCCATGAACCCTAGTGTAAAATTAGCCTTGTTCTGCAGGCAAAAACACATTGTTTACTTGGCTTGGGTTCTATATCATTACTCTAATCTCTCTGCGGTTGGATTTCTCTATGGCATAAATAGTTCATCTGGTATCTGGTTTCCCCTATTACTGTCTCCTATACTGGTGCTACATTTGTCCCGTTCTTACATTCTCCATTTTTCAGACCATTCGAAAAAATTTGTTTAGATCTTTTCTGTAGTTTTGCAGGAGTCCTCGTCCAGGTTTAATAACCGTCCTATTTTAGTGTCATCAACAGAATTTACTTATATTTTAACAATCTATGCCGATATCTATGTCGTTTATGTATATAATAAATAATAATGGTCCAAGTACTGATACCTAGGCTTTCTGTTAGCATTCTCCATGGGAACTCTTCTTTATTAATCTACCCATCTATTACTTACCACTATACGGATTCGAAAACTGATGAAAAGAATGTTAATAGATTAGTTAGACATGAACGCCCACTTGTGAAGCCATGTTGGGAATCATTGATCAACTTGTGCTTCTCCAGGTGGTTTTGAATAGAGTTTGAAATGATTGCTTCCAGTAATTTGCCTACTATTGATGTTAGACTGATTGGGCGGTAGTTAGAGGATAGTGATCTATCCCCCTTCTTGAAAATCGGTATTACATTCGCTATCCTCCAGGATTCTGGTACTACACCTGTATTTAAGGACATGTTAAACAACTTTGTTTAGGGCATACTAAGCTCTTCCTTACATTCCTTTAATACTCTGGCAAATATCTCATCAGGACCAGGTGACTTATTAGGCTTTAGTTTGTCTATTTGCTTACTAACATCGCTACTAGTCACTACTATCTCGCTTAATTTGTTTTCTTCATTCTCTCTGAATAGAGTTGGTGCCTCGGGTATCATGTTTACATTTTCGGTGGTGAAAACTGTTGAAAAATATTTATTCAAATTATTGCTCATTACTCCGTCGTTGTCAGTGAGCTCGCCGGTATCTGACCGTATTGGTCCAATCTTTTCTCGTGTTTTAGTTTGATACATTTGGTAGAATCCTTTGGGGTTTGTCTTTGCCTCCCTTGCTATCCTTACCTAATTATTCCTCTTGGCTTTCCTTATCTCTGAGACTTCCCTTCCCTATTGTGAATTCCGGTTGTTGTCCTTCTTCTTCATATTTCTTATCCATTTAGGGTCATTGTTGTCTGATCTGAGTTTTTTGTATGGTATGTTCTGCTTTTGTGCATTAAGTAACTCATTATTTAAATTTTAGTGGAACTCGGCTATCTCAGATCTCGTTATCAGGTCGGTGTCATCTGTCAGGTTCACGACCAGTTTTAAGAACAAGGCTCCTGGAGTCAGTAAAATAAATAAACTAATTTTACAACAATTACCAAACAACATGGTACTTCTACTATGAAATATATTCAATGCACCCATAGCTTCAGGCCACTACCCAAAGAAATTTAAGACAGCAATTATCAGACTGATACCAAAACCAGGAAAAGCCCCCACAGCAGTAGCAAACTACATACCAATCTCTCTATTAGAAACTCCGGGAAAAATTTTAGAAAAATAATTATCCACCGATTAAGAACACACCTGGAACTAGAATACAAATACAACCCTAGACAACACGGATTTAGGAAACACAGCCATTGGCCCTTATATTCGAAAGTACAGTATAGCAAACGCAATGCATAATAAAGAACAGAGCAACGTAGTTTTAAGGGATGTGGCCAGTGGCGGCTCGTGAAAAATAAAATGGAGGGACTGCAAGCCTCACACCGAGTCCCCACCAAACAATAAGCATGGAAAGCAGAATAAAGTATTTGCCTCGTCACAACCACAGAGCCATTCACATTTCTGATAAACACTGATGTTAAACTGGCGTGTATATTCTTTGTTCCTGCTTGTACTGTTCTGAAATTCCATGCTTATTGTTTGGTGGGGACTCGGTTTGAGGCTTGCAGTCCCTCCATTTTATTTTTCACGAGCCGCCACTGGATGTGGCAAAAGCTTTCGATAAGGTCTAGCACTTGGGACTTAAATATAAAATAACCAATCAAGAACTCCCTAACAACTTCACCTCTCTTCTTTGTCATTTCTTAGACCATAGAGAAGCACACATTATAATAGGCAACCACAAAGGCCCAAGCTTCAGACTTTATAGTGGAGTACCACAAGGAAGTAACTTATCCCCAACTCCTTAGACAATCTACACTTCAGACATGCCGTCTCCAATTCACGGTGAATACATTGCATATGCTGATGATGTCACCCAGATCATCCACCATCCAGGCAAGTCCAAACAGATGATGGCATTAAAAACAGCTCGTGCCATAATACAAATCAATAATTACGAGAAGAAATGGAAAACAAAAACTAATACACAGAAACTGAAAATCATACACATTTCAAGGATAAACCCAACACCAATCACAGTAAACAACGAAGAAATACAATACTCAAACGAAGGAATAAATAAACACATAACAGAACGTAATAGACCGGCCCAAATGCTGCTTACAAAACTAAGAAGATTAGGTCAAATGGAAGAGAAAATACAACTACACCTATTTAAAGCACTACAGTAGTCCGCCCCCATCTTGAATACCCGCCAATACCATTAAACACGATCAGCTGTAACAACCAATTAAAACTCCAGGCAACACAAAAAAAAGCCATCCGCAGAGCCTCCAAATAACGTCCCCCATATACAACCAAAATAAAAAAGCTTCACGAAAAATACAACATTTTGTCATTAAACATAAGAACATACAGACAAGCACAGGGAGTATGGTACAAACTAGAAGTCATGAAAGACGAAATAATTATAAAAAAAAAAAAAAACAGAGGACACCACAAGATCACACACTGGTAACCTCAAGAGCCAGAACTACTGTATGCTAAACAGTAAACAAATAACACATCCTCATCTACACCTCCTTTTGAACAACACCAACAAGCACCCTAGAGCCAGACCCATTATACACCACAGCATAAATAACTTCTTGACGCCAGTCACACCTTATTTTAGACCATAATATTAAAAATAAAAAAAGTGTTCTACTAGTTACACAAGGACCTTGTAGACCTCTTCAACTAACACAATAACAAACGTCTCCTTGCTAGCTAGCTTAGCCCTCCCCACCCCCCTCCCCGTCTCCTTTGAGCTCGGGTGACCTCTTGGTGTAGCCTTCACCACTGCCAATCAAATCGTCTCTGCAAGGTGGATAGTCCACCTGCTCTTATTTTCTACTACTTTACTTCCCGTTTCATAACTTTCCTTCTATCTTTCCTCTTCTCTCCCTTCCCATGGCAAACCATTGCCATTTTATCTCCATTATCATCATCATCGAAGGTCAGACAACACCACGCTCTTAAGCAGATAAGACCTCCTCTTAAGAAGCTCCTCCACAGCAACTCCTCTACCAAGCAGCAACATGGTATATATATATATATATATATATATATATATATATATATATATATATATATATATATAAAACGCCATTGTGAGTTTCTTTCTCACCTCCATCCTCAGTGCGAGATCTCCTATATGTATGTACAGTATGTATGTGAGCCTAACAAAGGGAAAATAGACAAACACAAAGAGAAATTAGACAATTGGCCACATACACATACACCATAGCTTCATTGCCCAGGCTGCAAACATCCTCGCTCCTCTCCACGATCTTCTCAAGGGACTCCCCAAGACATCTCACAAGCCTCTCATATGAACTCAAGAGGCTTTTACAGCATTCACCACTATCAAGCAGCACATCACACGCCTTACCCTGCTGGCTCACCCTGCCCCCAACGCCCGGACCACCGTCACAACAGACGCTTCTTCTGCTACCGTGGGAGCCGTCTTACAACAGATCAATGTTAGGGGATTGGGAAATTAAAGGTTAGGGGATTGGGAAATTAAAGGTTAGGGGATTGGGAAATTAAAGGTTAGGGGATTGGGAAATTAAAGGTAAGGGGATTGGGAAATTAAAGGTTTGGGGATTGGGAAATTAAAGGTTTGGGGATTGGGAAATTAAAGGTTAGGGGATTGGGAAATTAAAAGTTAGGGGGTTGGGAAATTAAAGGTTAGGGGATTGGGAAATTAAAGGTTAGAGGATTGGGAAATTAAAGGTTAGGGGATTGGGAAATTAAAGGTTTGGGGATTTAAATTAAAGGTTAGGATTGGGGAAATTAAAGGTTAGGGATTGGGAATTAAAGGTTAGGGGATTGGGAAATTGAAGTTGCTTGTGGATTGGGAAATTAAAGGTTAGGGGATTGGGGAAATTAAAAGTTAGGGGTTGGGAATCAGTTGTCAGGGATTGGGAAATTAAATGTTAGAGGATTGGGAAATTGTTGTTAGGGGATTGGGAAATTAAATGTTTAGGGGGATTGGGGAAAATTGAATAAGTTAGGGATTGGGAACAAAATACAGGGTTGTAAGTTCAAAGGTTAGGGGATCAGAAATTGAAGAAGAGGGGGTTGGGAAATTAAATAATAGGGGATCAGAAATTAAAAGGTTAGGGACTGGAAATTCAGCTGTTTAGGGACTGGGGAAACTAGCCAATAGGGCTGGGAAATCAGCTGTCAGGGATCAGAATCCCAGCTATTAGGTTGTAAAACTAAAATAGTTTAGGGGGGTCAGAACCAGCTGTCAGGGGATCTAAAATCAAAGGTTAGGGTTGGGAAATTAAAATGTCAGGTATCAGAAATTGTGCTAGGATTGGGAAATTAAGGGTAAGGGGATTGGAAAATTAAGGGTTAGGAAAGTTACTTCTAAGTGACATACCGAAAATTCTATAATGTACCGCTCCGAAACAGTGGCTGTGGTCATGGGAACCTGGGATACCTAAAACAAGATGGTGTGGTCAGTAAAATGATGTACTAAATATAAAATATGAATTCTCAAAATCGCGGTTGGCGATGGGTTACCTTACAGTACATCGGGTACAAAAGTACGTGTTACTATAGGATAGTCCGATTAAAAGTTGCTAAGTATCCATTTATTACTAATTTGATATAGCAAACACCTGCTATATAATGATATTAGGACTAAATGTAACACCTTATGTTTAACATCTTATTACCCATTAAATATACAGGACTATTAGTTATAGTAATGAAATATATTTAAAAGCCAATAATATTCAATATAATAGAAAAGTTCTGTATTTTATTGTAGTGTATTTTTATTTATCATTTCACAATAGGTTATTGGGCGGTTGGTCTGCTCTGTTATAATCTTCACTGTTCAGTGTTAAGTTAGCTCAGGCACATGCTCATGGAGGTTGGCTGATTTGGGTAATGGTCATAATGTCATTCCTTAATAATACTGTATGATAAAAAAATCCTACACTTCAGACAAACTCATTTTCTTTCATAGCAGAAAGGCTTTTGTGAATTATTCTTGAAAATATTTTGTAATATATTATGTACTAAGTACAGTACAATACTGTACACTCTTGATGTACAGGGGTCCCCAGGGTATGAACGGGTTCCGTTCCTGAGAACAGTCTTATGCCAGATTTGTACGTAAGTCGGAACACATGCTGTGTGCATACCGTACTTACAGAACAATGTTTAAAATCACACTATATCATAACCTAAGTCCTTATATAGTACATATAAAATCACTTAAGACAAAAGAAGAAATAGAATGACAAAATACAGTAAATGAAAGTAAAAAAGTTATCAGGTAAATAAAATACTATAAATTTGAAGTTTAACCCCGTTTTTATCGGCAGACATTCGTAAGGCGGGGACCCCCTGCACAGCCCCCTTCACTAGCGTGTTTACAGGGGCTCGTCATATAACCATTTCACAAATCATTACATTGAGATATTTGTTCTAATATTGTTTTACTTTGATTCCATATCATGTTTACTATTGTCAGTTTTCTTCTGTTGAATGTAAACAAACACAGTGCTGCCACACTGCACAAAACCTGATGATCCCCTGTAAACACACTGGTGAAGGGGACTGTACATTAGAAATATTTCCTATTAACCTATAACATAATTTTTTGACTAGAAACTTTATTTATAATCTAATGAAAATGTAAAAATAAAACAAATTATGATATAATAAAAAACTGAAAGATACAAATCAAATGTTTATTTTATGATACTGTGTACAATAAAATTTTTGAAATATTATGTACAAAAGTATATAGCAGTTCAAGATCGGTACATTAAAAGCAATAAAAATCAGTAGTTCATAGAAATAATTATACAAGTAATTACAAATATTTATCTTACAGAAACTGAAATCAAACTTTACTTCATTACAATCAACTTGTTACTTGGGTAGAACAAGTGCATTACATGAACGAACAATACTGTATTGCAATGGGAAAACGAATTGAAAACTTCAATATTTATTTAGTGCACAGCATGAAAATTTAGCTCAGCATTGAAACCTATCACCTATCAACCTCATTCCACTTCCATCTACTTGCTACTTGGGAGGAAAAAATGCAAAGAGCCTTATAATGATAAACAATTGATAACTAAAACAAGAAATGGAACAATAACCATTCACACCTTCAACTAAAACTGTATGTAACAATGTGAAGCAGTGACTTCCCTACTGATCACCATTTTACATTTGGTCACTTTCTAAAGTAAGTCATTTTGTTAACTCTATGCATACAGTTTGTCTAATACTCAGGGTTTCATCTGACAGCACCCCTTACTATATCTGTAAATCCTAATAAATCCTTTATGGGTTCTATCAGACTCTTGCATTGTTTCACTATCCCCATCTTACCTCATCTGTCTTCAAGTGAACAAAACCACCATACAATCCAGTGTTCACTCAGCACTACCTTCGTACATTTTGGCATCTCTCTCTCTCTCTCTCTCCTGGTCTATGGACACATATGCTTGCAAACTCAGTGCACAAGCAATTAATTTCTACATCTTCATTCTCTACCTTGAAACTTTGACCTTCATATATAAACAAGAACTATAATGCAAAATCCTTCACATGGAACTTATTAATTCTGATCAACTTATCCTTTGTTTCTGACCTGCCTAATTACAAATTCTAATGATATTGAAATTTCTAGATGGTTTTCATGAATAGATCTTACTGTGTTTTACATTCCTCTTCCTTTTTCTTATGGGATCCAGATGCGGTAAAATATCTAGAATAATCTTTATTTTCCTTATTAAAACCTTGCCACGTTGGGACTTTCCCTCGAGGATTCCTCTGAGTTTCTACAGGTGGCTTCACACCAGGAAGGTTCTCAATATAAGTCTGAGTAGGTAGTGGAGCATTAAGAGCACCTAAATGACAAGCATTACTGGAACTCTTTGGTTTAATATCTTCATAATTGCTTGCACCTTTGCTTATAACTTCAGTCTCCTGAAAAGAAAAATGGTAAGTTATAAAAGAATGTAACTTGTAACACCAAGACTAATAGGACCAGCAAGAGGTCATAAAAACAGTAACACTGTAAAATGAATTAGTTTGAGATCTCTTGAAAAAATTTTGAAAAAGGAAGGAAGAAATAATACTTTTGTTCAATCCAGAATGTTACGTCTAGCTTATACCAAGGTATGTAAATGCCTAGCATTAACTCGCCAGGCCAACATACATGCAATTAAAACATCTAATACAGGGGTGTAATTACTTAAATATGTAATATTAGGAGGACACGTCGCTACCTGGCATTTAATTGCAATTCTCAAAACCCCCTCCCGCACCCTCCATCACACGCATTGATACCGTCATATCTTGCCTGGCGAATCAGCTGTAAATACGCGCAAGGAAAGCTCCTCTAATTTGTGTTGTAATTGCCGAAATATTATGTGCCACGAGGATTTTATTTTTGGTATTTATACATCTTAGCATCTTAAGAAATCGAGTGACTTTAATTTTGATTATGTCTCAGATATTGTGTTTGCGGCAATTTTTTACATGGTCTGGTCAAGCATGGTTTGTCTTCTATCTCTAGGAAGACAGTCGATCTTTAGTGACTAATTTCCTCTGCTTTCAAATCACTTAGTGAATGATGTTGTTTTATGCCCTTCCGGGCTCTTTTTCATTGAAAGAATATACTGTATATAGTTATATATTGATATATATAGTATATAAAAAAAAAATTCTTTGTCCCAATTATACACGTGCAAGTAATGAATACCATGATATATGTGGCCATCCCTCTCCCTCTTCTCATGTTTGTTCACGAAACTTTTTGGGCTTCCTCCCTGGGTATTCTGATTACTCTCAGCATGCAGACCAGAGTGATCCCTCAAAATATAAGTGCTCTAAAATTAAGTTAGCTTGATTAAGAAACAAAGTTCATTGACCTGAGGGATAATTGAGAAAAGAGAAAGGAGAGGTGTATGATATAGTGAATTAGTTGCTTAAGATTGTCACATTGGTGACTTATATACAGTGGTCCCTCGGTTAACGAGATTTCGGTTAACGAGTTACCTTCCATAAGATTCTTAGCTTTGGTTAACGAGCAATCCCTCGATTAACAAGTTTCTTACGAGCCGACCTCCACATGTTTTAGCTTGCATTTGGCGGTCCACCAGCTGTAGTATTAGTCCGCCAATACAGTAATCGGTTCTAGGGCTTAAATTCCTTACCCTTTTAGTAAATATCAAGAAGTTTATACTATTCAATAATTTAAAAGTTTAATATTAAATTTTTTAGTCATTTTAACAATTATTGAACATAATTGAAGGTAGAGTCACTAGTTTGTGGCACGCCATCCAGCCTCTCAACACACCATACAGGCGTCAGTCTTTGTGTCTTTTCAGTGGAGGTAACACCTTGCTTGAGACTCTCTTCAACTAAACGCTTTTTTCTGTGTTTACAAGTAAATTATTGGTCATTTTGAAATTTATTTCACATATTGACAATATATAATGCAGTGCAGTGTTGATTTAAAGAAAATAATCTTGAATTACACCAAGAGAACTAAAACTTTATAGGTGAAATGGCACCATGGGGTGACTTCTCTTCCACCCCAATGCCTTCTCTTCTCCCTTCTCCTCCACCCCCATTCTAATTCCCATCATCATCATCCAGGAGCCTTCTACATACACACCTCAAAGTAAGTGTACTTTTCTACCTTTTTTGTTGAATTTAGGCAATTTTCGGTGAGCTGGAACCAATTACCCAAAAACCCATTGAAACAATGGTTTCGGTTAACGAGTTTTTCTGTTAACGAGCAACCTTCTAGAACGGATTGTGCTCGTTGACCGAGGGACCACTGTAACAATAAGAGATATTAAATGATATAACTTACTAAAATATCACAGTTATGAGTTATATTGAATATGTTTGGGAGAAAATGTTATCTCCCTTGTATTATTATGATGATACAATGTGACTCAGTGTTCCTCCTAGTTTAGATGGGTGATGTGCAACAGGAGGATGGAGGACAGTTGTCTGGACTGCTAGATGACGGAGACCATGGAATGGTCCCTGGGGAAATAATGTTGAGTGAGGAGCTACAAGGACTGGAGACCTCAGCTCATACACTACATACGAAGATGTGAATTCAGTAGTAGTAGTTTCACCCAGGACCCACGGGGACCATACTACATGCAATTATCAAAGATGTAGGGCCACTTGGATTACCAAGTTAGATCCTCATTTGGCTTGCATAATTCATAGCAGCTGTATTACAGACAACCTGTTTTCACCATTGGATTGTGCAGTTTGTTATGATTAAATTATTATAAATTAATCAAGCTGCAGGAGATAAGAAGGAATAATCAAAGATCCAAATTAAAAATAGATGGAATAAGGCCTTAAAGAGTAAACTTCTAAATGAAAAACACTGGAAAGATCCCAAGTTGGCAGAAAGTTTAGAATTATGGGTGATAGGTAAGAGACTTAATCCCCAGTTTGACAAGCCTGCTTCTGCCAAGAAAAGTAGGTTATTGAATATTTAAGGCAAGAACCTCTATCTAGTCAGCCCGATTTTAGTATATTCCAGAATCAGGATGAGGAAGTTTGCACTAATAGTGTTCAATCACTAGAGCAGGGAGAACCTGTTGACACTGACTTCATCCTGTCCCCAATTTGGCAACCTCTTCCACCTGGGGCAAAAGTGTTGGTTACTATGAGTGGAAACAAGCTGCTGTCGACTCCCACGCAGCTGATGGAGAACATTGAGTGTAAGGATGACCCAAAGAGGCCTTGGGTAACATTGTTTTCAACCACATCTGAGTCTGTGGATTCCTTATTCAAGATATTTTATGAAAATGTTTCCAAACTTCCTGATCTCTCAGCACTTAAAACAAGACAGGAAGGCCAAGCAACTGTGGGTCATCATTCATTGTTTTTAGGAGATACTACAATTTCTTGGCCTGATATTTGCCCAAAAATGATCACTGAAATAGATTAAATCTGGGCTAATATATTGAAAAACTTAACATTCATTCCCTCAGATAGGAATGCTCACAAGTTTAGTTTTCTGAAGTTCCAATGCAATGGCAAAAAGAGTTCCTTATATGAACTTCCCAGTATTTGTCGGCTCCAAAATATGCTAACATAAGCTATGAAGTAAATTTGAAACCAGTTGCTTCTGCATTGTTGCAGGAAGAATTCAAATTTAGGAAGTTGGCAGCAGATATTTGGTCTGCAATCATGATGTGTCAGTTATTGACTAAGTTGGTGCTGGACTATGAGGACAGTTCAGAAGTAGACAGATGTTTTGCTGCTGCTATACAAGGGATTCCATATTCCCTGTACAACTCATTTATGGAAATGTTGTTGAAAGCCCTAAAATTAAAAGCCCAGCTCAGGAAGCAAGCCACCAATAATGCTTCAAGTGGTAGTGCTTATTTATTGCTATGTTCTTCCCCTCTTTCTCCTGCCTTGTTTGAAGAACAAACATTAGTTAAATATAGATCAGCTGTTGAGCAAGCTATTCAAATTAGTGTTACCAGGAGTCCTAAGACCTTTTGGAAATTTAAAAGAGGAAGGTCTAACAGGGGAACAGGACCAGCTGTTAGGTTCAGTTATCAACCTAGAGGAAACTTTAGAGGAGGAAACAATTCAAGACATAGTTGGGGTGGCCGTTTGTTCAGAAGTGGAAGGAGACCTTATTCCACCACATCAGCGACCACTCCCTCCCAATGAAGCCAGACAGCTGGGTTGTCTAGGGGGTTGGGAAAACAGGTGGACTTCTTCCATATGGGCTTACAAGACAATCAAAGGGGGCCTCACATGGACTTGGTTGAGGCACCAACCCCCTTACTCACAGAATGTGTAATTCAACTGTAAACAGAGGTGTGATAGAACTGTTGCAGTCAGAGAAATGTTTCATGTCTCGCCTATTCCCAGTCTCCAATTAAGGTGGATTTTAGATCTTTCCGTCCTGAGAAAGTTCATAAAAAAAGTTTCAAGATGCTCACTTATGATCATCTGAAGCATCTACTTCCGCCCAATGCTTGGATCTCAAACGTGGATCTCGAAGATGCCTATTGCTCCCAGGTACAGAATGTTTCTAGTGTTCGCAGTGGGGGATGTAAGTTATCAATTAACAGTGATGCCATTCGGCCTAATAATTGCGGCAAAAGTATTTACAAAACTGGCGAACATCCCCAAAGAGATCTTTGTGAAGGAAGGCATAAAACTTTTGCTTATCTAGATGATTGGCTGATAGTGGGAAACACTTTCGAAGACTGTCAAAGGGCGACCCAACATACACTAGTACTTTCGAAACCTAGGATTAAAGATAAACCAGGTCAAATCAAATCTCCTACCATGTCAGAAATTGGATTGGTTAGGTCTCCATTGGGACACCAATAAGCAGTCAGTCAGTTTACCAGAAGCAATGGTAACAGATGTGATAAACCAAGTAGAAGCCTTTTGAGTAAAGCAAGAGGTTTCTTGGCACGATTGGGAAAACTACTGGGTGTTGAATTTTGCCACCAAAGTAGTTCCTTTGGGCATGTTAAGGAAGAAGCAACTAACTCATCTGGAGTTGAAGTTACCTCACAGAAACAAAAATATTGTTTCTTCTCCCTATTCAGATAAAATTCATCTGTCATGATGGACAAATTTGGACAATCTAATCGGTTCATCTCCCCGGGTTCCCCCTCAAACAGACTTGGTCGTTTGTACGGAAGCGTCCGAGATAGGATGAGAATACCATTCCTCAAAAGGAGAGTTCCGTCAAGGGAAGTGGAGCAACTCCCTTTGAGACAGACACACAATCATACCGGGAGTACAAAACAATTGGGCAGATGCGTTGTCCCGTCTCAAGCCAGTATCTATGGAAACAGAATGGTCCCTAAGGATACCGAAGTTCAAGAATCAAGTGAAGAGGTTTGGGACTCCACAAATAGATCTCTTTGCCTCACAAAACAATCACAAGATGCCAACTTATGCATCTT